CCTGTTTGTGATAGAGGCTATCAACTTGGAATGTCTTTCAAATGCTGCCTTAGCTCCTGAAGTAGTGGATTCCTACACAAGGTTACCACCATGGGCACATGACCAGGGGAGGATCCATGGGGGGTGTGGTGGTGCAGTTGCCCAACCCCCCACCTTTGATTCTTGGTGCACCCAAATGTTAAAACCATTGGCAGTGGTGGCAGCAGCAGCAGCAGCATTTCTATTTAGGTAGCAGTTGAGGGAGTCAATTGCCTTCATGCTCATTATAAGTTATCAGATTTCTTCTAAAGTCCTCATTCCACAAGTGTAAACGACCATTTCCTTTTTTAATTGTCTTAGTGTTCCACTAACCCACCCATTTTTTCTTTGGGCAATTTTGCTGTCATTACCTGCTCCTGGTAAACTAGCTCCTATTTCAAAGCCCTGCAGACTGTTTTTAACTCTAGCTAAAAACATGAACTCAGGTGTGGAAATAAATTTCAGTGAAACACTGGATGCACTGTCAAGGGGCTCAGGAAGGCTAGATTTTGATTTATGAATCTGCAAAAAAGAGATGTACATTTAATTCTAATGATTACAGGAAACAACATATTTTAATTACTTTTTGCCTAGTTTGTTGTGCTTTTATACATGATGCATGTTATAACAAATTAATGAACAATCCAATAGAGTTGTATTTGTTTTTGCTTCAATCTTAAAATGGATAATAAGAAGAAACTACTCAGTTAATCTAGAAAAAGATCTCATATCTATGCAAAGAAACTTGCCTGCCTAATAAAACATAAGAAATAAGAATTGCCATTTACTGGGTCAGACCATAGGTCATCTTGCCCAGTATCTTGCATCACAGGGTCAGAGTGGATACTGAAAGGGAGAGTGAAGGAGGTATGACTACCTTTCCCACCCCACATTGTTCCTTTCTCATGTGCAGCCTCCAGCATTTAAGGTCTAGGAAGTCGTATCTGATCCAGAGGCTGTATCCCTAACCCCCATGCTCAGGAGCTACTGATGCCCCTTTCCTCCCAAAATGTCTCCAATCCCTTTTTGAGTCTAGCTAAACTGTTATCTCCCACAGCATCTGGCGGCAATGAGGTCCACAGTTTAATTACCAGCTGTGTGAAAAAGAACTTCCTTTTGTTAGTTTTAAGCTTATTACCTACTAGTTTCATTTTGTGACCCACTAGCTCAGGGGTGGGCAAAATGCAGCCCACGGGCTGGATTTGGCCCACCAGCCCATTCTATGTGGTTCATAGGGCCTCTAAAAAATTTAGAAATTAATATTTATCTGCCCCTGGCTGCCTGTCATGCTTGCCAAAACTCAGTAAGTGGCCCTCCGCCTGAAATAACTGCCTGTCCCTGCAATAGCTCTTGTATTGTAAGAGAAAGTAAATAACAAATCCCTGTTTACTTTCTCTTCACCATTTAGTATTTTGTAAACCCTTAGCATGTCCTCCCTCAAGCATCTCTTTCCCAAACTGAATAGGCGGAGCCTCTTCAGTCTCTCCTCATCTGGAAGACCCTCCATACCACAAATCACCCTTGTTGCCCTTCTCTGGACTTTCTCTAGTTCTTCTATATCCTTTTTGAAGTGTGGGCACCAGAACTGGGCACAGTATTCAAGGTGTGGACACCATGAGTAAAGGGGCATAATGATACTTCCAATTCCCTTCTTAATAAGCCCTAACATGGTTGTTTGCCTGCTGACGATGGATGCTGAGCACTGAGCTGACTTTTTTAGACAACTGTCCACAAGGACTCCAGTGACCGGGGGGGGATCCCCCACAGCCAACTGCACCGATCCCCGCGGCCAATCTTGCTGACCAGGAAGCAGTTGCAGCACTCCAGGAAGTGTCCGTGGTGCTTCATGTGGCGCTCCCACTCCCCAGCCAACGCTCTCGTGGGGGGCACCAGCACTCCTGCCTGCCCTTCCTGCCCATCGCCTAAGTGGGGAGCGCAGCCTGTCGGAGTGCACCGGTGCTCTCAGGGGGTGCACATGCACCCCCACGCACCCCAACGTGTCGCCACCGCCCTCATCAAATGGGAGGATAGTCGCACAAACACCAGCATCCTTGCTGAAGCCGGTGTGACTAGCATTGAGCCTGTGTGACTAGTGTTGTGTGCAGATGCCTGACCCTCGACTCCCCAAACAAGTGCTCTGCTCCCAGCTTAGTAATGCCCTGAGACCGCGAGGTGGCTGGAGAAAATGTTACAAGGTCACACTGAAGGCCGACCTCAAGAAAACGAACGTGCCCATCAACGCGGGCAGAGCTGGCTGCCCACTGATTCCACCACAACCTCCATGGAGCAGCAACCCCTTTGGAGGCAGAAAGTCTTGCCCTCCAAGCAGAGAAGAGAAAAGGGGGGAAGAAAGACCCCAGCTGAGGGCCTTGCCTGCTCTCTGCTGAGGCAAGATCTGCAGATGGGTCCCTGGCTCGCAGACTGGACTCTGAAGTCACCTCAAGACCTATCCCTGAGCGGGGTCGCGAGTGCCTAGGTGCATCCCCTCGCACTTCCCCACCCGCGCGCCCCTCCGAGGCGCTGCCCTGCCTCCCCTCCCCGTGCCAGTCCCAGACTGCCGGAGGGCAGCGCGCCTCCCTGCTGGCCGGGAGCGCAGGCCGGGCACGTGGCGCTGGCGGGGCCGGTGCGGTGGGAGAGGAGGTGAGGGGCTGCGGAGGCGGCGGCTACGTCCTCAGCGGGGCGGGCCGGGGCTGGCCGGGCCGGGAAGGTGC